CAAACACATTCAACTCACGGAACGTTTTCCTTTCTGAAAAGACTATTGTATTGGGATTTGTTTGGCACAATCTGAACTCAGACGTGTGAAATATAAATATATATATATATATATGCATTAGTTCTAGGCAGCTGCTCAGTAATCCGGCTTTATATCTTGGGCGATTCGCCTCTAAGCTCTGGGGCTTCGGTTGACGGTTATCATGAATGGACAACCGATCCTCATGAATATACAGCTTGTCCTGTCTATTGTGCATATAATGGTGTAATAAACGAAAACGCGTTATCTGCGCAGTATACACTCGGCTTTATAACACCTAAAATATCAGAAAAACGATCAGATAAAACTAACTCCATCGGTTGCAAGTAATTCGACATTAACTCCAGATAAGATTATGTTATTACACACCGGTGCGTGGTGGACAACAGAAGGGGTGGAAGTCATAGTCACGAAGACTGCTATCCAGTGATGGTAACCGCAATCTAAGCCCCTGAACTTGGAGTGACGAACCAGATAAGACCCCGCTAACAACCAGGCGACAGCAAAGTTGGGTGGCGGAGCTCGAACCTCGGACCAGAGGGTCCAAAGCACGTCGGTTACAGCGACTAAACCAATAGGATAAAGTGCTTAGTGAAGATCGATGGACTTGGGTGGCAGGGATAATGCCACTGCATTGCTCAACTTCGGAGATCCCCACTACCTTTTTGAGTAATCTGTACGAATGGAGATAAGATGCACGAAAGTAGGAGTAACTTATAGAGCGGTTATGGAAACACAATATACATTCGTTCATCTGCATCAAGATATGTTGATGCAACGCATGATAATACGCAGAAATCTAATGAGGACAGAATGTTCAAAAGGGTATTCGATAACTGTTTCAGTTTCTATAACCATTAACCATGCGCTATCGTGCGCCGGTATTGATTGCTGTTGTTGGATGAACATGAGGAAACAGACACGGAAGGTTGAAAGTAGGATCGAAGAGACTTTATCGCACCGATTTTGCAGAGAAACCGACAAGA